GTTAAGCAGAATGAGTTTTTTAAAAAGGGCATCTTACTAAAATGTTATTTATAATGGTTTAAAAAAAAAATCCCTCGAGTGAAGAAAATGTTATTGGAAAGTCTATTAATGTTTACTCTTTAAGGGCATTTTTTACAAGGACTTCAAGATTACAGGTGAGTTCCTGTAGTTAACATAACAGAAATCGTAAGCCAGTAAAGTTCCTGCTGAATTGTCACCATATATTAGGTTGGGAACAGAGAAACTCAATACCCTGCAACCCATAAAGGAAGGGTGAGCAGAAATACAAACTCCTGTTGCCCTCAGTGCTTTTCATCCCTGAATTGCTATTCCAAGAAAAAAGAGAATAATCTAGATAGTTGCTTTTAGTATTTATAACTCAATGCAAAATTGTAGAGTTGAGTAATTTTCCAAATTGCCTTTCTTTTCTTAAGGTGGCTGTGGGTTAAGAATCATTAAACAATCACTTTTGCTCAGCACAGAGCAAACAGGTTTTTTAATCCTATGTTTAGGAAGATTATTTTATTCAGCTGTGGTTTCTGTGGAATTTTAAGTGCAACAAAAAAATGAAGGACCATTTGTTTGAATGCATGGGCTATTATATATATTTTTGCTATTCTTAGTTGTTCTTTTCACTTTAAAAAAAAAAAAGACTAAGGGATTTCTGTGGGTGGAGTTGCTAGGAAGGAAAAGGAGGCCAGGAGAAAGTATTCAAAAGGATAGACTTTGCAAAGCAAAGAACTTCAGTCGTAGCATCTCAAAGAGATTTACAAACAAAGGCTACCGATCAGGCTTTGTGGGAAGTGAACCCGAATGGCAAGGAAACTGATTTGACTTTCCCAAGGTCATTGGGCACAGTGGGAACTACAGTGAGACAGCTATTGTGGCCACAGTGGGCCATCTGCTTGAAAGAGTTTTCTATATCCCTAAAATTGTACCCACAATCCCCACAAATCAGCTAGCCTAATAATCATTAGCAACACTAATTTGCAAATTGTTGAGGGTGGAACAACTGATGTTACCTTTTGAAACCAAGATAATGAGACTGACAAGGTCACATGGTTACGAAGTGACAATATCAGAAAAAAGAAAGCCTAAGATAGTCCACACCCCAAATATTAAACTCATCCTGAACACTTGTGATAGAAAGATACAAACAAGTATTTAAATTTTATCTGCTTGGAGTTGCCACCTAATTGTGAGCAACACTGAAATTCTCAGGAAGAAACCCAAACTTGACATTTAAAATGCATCATAGGTAAGTTTTGTGCCACAAGTAGGAAGAAAACAGCGTGGTCTTACTACTCCTAATTAACAGCTATGAGCAAATGAACGTGGAGAGAGAGGAAAAAAGGAAATGTAAGTGTTAAGAGACATTGAAAATCAGAGCTTTAGGAAACGATTTATGAGAATTTAATGCTCCTAGGAAAATAAATTTATCAAGAACTAGGTATTCTGGATGTTTCTAGCTTATTCAAAAATTGAAGGCTGGGCATGGTGGCTCAAGCACTTCAGGAGGCCAAGGCAGGTGGACTGCTTGAGCCCAGGAGTTCAAAAGCAGCCTAGGCAACATAGGGAGACTCTGGCTCTACAAAAAATACAAAAAAAAAAAAAAAAAAAAAAAAAAAAAAAAAAAAAAAAAAAAAAAAAACTGTTGGGCGTGGTGGCACATGGCTGTAGTCCCAGCTACTCACTCAGGAGGCTGAGGTGGGAGGACCAGGTGAACCTGGGAAATTGAGGCTGCAGTAAGCCATGATTGTCCCACTGTACTACCAGCCTGTACAACAGAGTGAGACCCTGTCTCAAAAAGAATTGAAGAAGTCCTCAAAAAAGGGCTAGTGAGTATGGTGGTTCTAAGACAAGAATGATCTTCAGGTACAGAAGGTGGGGACCTGATCATTGCCAAGCATCCAAGAGAAGGCAAAGATTTAAAGGCAGCTGCTTACAAAGACTCCTTGGGTGCTGCTTACGTTACTGCAAAGATCATGCTGTGATAGTGCCCGCAGAGTGGGAGCTTCTTAGAGCTACCATTTTTGCAGTCTGTCATTAGAGCAATCAGATTTGAAGCCTCTTATCTGTTCCATGACCAAATGATTGACACTGATTGATTCAGGCACTGTCGCCCTCTACCTACAAAGGAGTAAAAATATTGATAAGGTAAATCAGCCTACAAAATATCTATTTCTCATATTACTACCTCTTTGATTACATTAGAAGGGCTATTAGAGACTACTTAAATGAGAGCAGACTAAACATGGAATTTTTAGAATAGTGTTATCCTGCCAGAAAAGTAGTTCAATCGAGTTTGCTTAAAAATCATTGCAATGTAGCAATGTTATTTGGGACACATTGAATAAAAAATTATGAGATTCAGGAACAATATTCTAGATGGAAATTTAAATGTGTGGAGGGTGTATGTGAAGAGGAAGAAAGAGAAATTAATTTAATTCCATTTGCTGATGTGACTGTAGCACAACTATTTTTAGGTATAATCCAAACAGTGCATATCTTCTCCATTTTGATTAGTAGACAATTGGCAGGGAGTCAAAAGAATTAGTATTTCTCAGCACATTATGCCAGAAACGTACAAATAAAATGACATTATCTGTGCCAATGTGTTTAATTTGAATTACTTCTAAGGTTTTAATTTTTTTCTTTCAAATAAACGAATGAGTCCAGCTTGGTTAAAAACATTTTTAAAAAAGTGTTTCACAACTGGCAGCAAAAGTTATAGAACAATTTTTCCTTAGATCCTTGCTGAGACGCTCTTGCAAGAAACTTAAATGTTAATATTACCCTGATACTTTGGGTGCAGAATTTCTGTCTGGCAATTTCATATATTGCGAGAGGAAGTCGGCACATTCAACAAAATGTGAAATTAAAATAAGCTAGGAAAATGTACTTAACAAGGAAAGATTTCACAGTAGCCACTTAGGAGTTATTAATAATTCCAATTCCCAACTAAGAAATAAACTCTATTTGCAAAGGTTTATATGGGCAAGCTCACCAAAGGATGAAGCCATATGGTATACCAATTACACATTTCTACATCAGGGAGAACCCGGAAAATCTCTATTGAGTTCTCATTAGTGTTCAATCTGAGTGTAACTTTCAATGTAGCAAATCTATGAATCTTGATCACATTTTCCTGTTACGATGTTAAGGCTTGTGCTTTTGGTAGTTTGCTACACACAGCCCACGGGTAAGGCTGTGTTTCTGCACACTCGTTGCCCTCTTCTTCCTGTTCCTGCAGTGCACAGTCTCACCAGATTAAGCAGGACTGGCAGCCCAGCTCCCCACATCCCCCATTATAAATCAATGGCTGCCTTCTTCAAAATCGACGAAAAGCAGTCTTCATGGATATGTGGAATCACTGACATGGTCTGTTTCTGAATCCACGTAATTCTCAGTTGGAGAGTGTGGGAGATGACAACTCTATCCTATTTCCTGCCAATACATAGAAACCAGTCCCAAGATTATAGGGGTTTCCTCTCACTCACTCAAGCGATTAAGCCTGTGCACTAAGTGGTTAAATTATATACATTTGTTCTTAAAGCTTAAAGGACTTTTGTCATTTAAGACCTGAAATTTGATGGCCCTGTATATATGTTTTGGGCTGAGAAGATTTCTTTTTATTTAAATGTGAAGATTTATCTAGACAAAATAAGTAAATAATCAGGAAATCAAGAAAGTGAAGCATTTAACTATGTAATTTCAGACAAAGAAGGACAAAACTCCTAAGAAAATGCATCTTACACACTCATGGTGGGGAGTGGATAGAAATTAACCATATTTGGTTCCTAGGGAAATTATAGTGACATTCATCCTGAGACTGATTTTGCATCCTCCAAAATATGTTTCTTTAAATATTTATTTTTGTATCCTTAAAGAAGCTCACCCTTTCTTTCTTTCTTTCTTCTTTCTCTCTTTCTTTCTCTCTCTCTTTCTTGCTTGCTTGCTTGCTTTTCTTGCTGGAAAGGGGTTAAACTTCATAACAGCTTTTGTTGAGGCTGTTCCTGTTCATGCAACCTTCTGCTGGTCTCTAAAACATCTACGTCATTAACCTTTCTCAGAAGACGGTTGCCTTGTCTTTAGAATATGCCATTGCAAAAAAGAATGTTCAGTCTCTACTTTTCCCTATTAGAGAATACTCTCTCGTGTTAAAGTGTAGCATAAGCCAGACGTGAATACGCTTTACTTTGATTTCTTTACTGTATGGTAATGAAATAAAAAGCCTGTTTAAAAAGATAGTAAGTATTTTAATGTATTTTGGATAATGTAAAATTAATATCAGGACAAAATTCACTATACTTTCCTTTAGGAACTAACTTTATGAAAAATACTCCATCCTTTGGGTGCTGTAATTTTCTTAGAAACTTAAATTCTTTCACATTTGCTTTTACCTGTGATCTGTCCACCCAGAACTTCTGGCAAAATGATCTACTTAACTATGCTAGAGAAAAAACATTTACTTCAGAAGTCCTTTTATATGTTTTTGCTTAACCATGAAAGCATTTTTCATTCTAAACAGGCTCTGGGGAAATCTGCACACAGTGATCATCTGCAGCCTGTGATTTTCTATTGGAAAACAAAAATAAGCTGTGGAAGCCACTTACTGCATTCCAAGTAGGCAACTGATCATTCAATGAGTCTTTCCTGCATTTCCATGAAAAGTTGCAGCTGAGTTAAATGGCCACATCACTAGTTTTTAAATTTATTTTTAGAATATAAGCAATCCCAAATGTCACTTCTTAAGTCAAATGCAGCAGATGGGATCTTGAAAGTGCCTACACGTTTAATCTGGCTGTGAAAATTTAGGGCAAATCTGTAGCTCTCAGTAGGTAAACACCTTATTTGGTCTGGAGGCATTTTGCTATGTTATTGAAACATGAAAACCTATTAAAAGAGCTCTATGGGAAATCCAGTCTGTATTCTGAACAAAACAAGCTGTCTTTTTCATTATCGCTGACCCCTTACAGACACACGATACATAATCTCGATTGTGCTTCATTGGTATTTATTGCACATGGACAAATTCCTCACACAGTAGTTAGTTGCACCAGAGTATAAATACTTGGTAAAACACACAAGAGGAAATAGAATTTACACACAAGTGCTAACTTTCACCAGCAAATTCACGTGGGCACTTGGACATAAAAAAAATAAAAAATCCTTAAGATAATTATATTTATAATATGGATACAGTTACAGTACCATGATAAAGGAGTATAAAAAGCTATTTTCCCAATAAATCATTAGCTCTATAACATACTAGACAACAGAAGTAGAGTGTGAATTTTATTTTAGTTTTTAAGATCTGCCCACCCCTTCCCCAGTTAAAAAATATTTAATTTCTTTTTGTGCAAGTAACGTCTTCTGTGGAATTTGTAATTCCTAACACTGTGCAAAAATGGCATTTTGAACCACTCCTTTTTTTGTTTTTGTTTTTATCCACATGTGCAGTAATCAAAACTGTCTCTCTCTCTTTTCATGTCCTGTCTTCAATTGACAGAGTCACATGTCACAGAGAGAGGCTCTGCGCCTGGTCCTTCCAACTAGTATTGATACATAAATAAGCTGTTTAATATAAACAAGTCTTTCTATCTGCTGTGCAAATGCACAGTGTGAGGTAGAAATCCCTTAGCCTGACCACCCAGGCGCGCGGGGGGACAGAGGGTTTGCCCTACACAAGCGAAGCAAATTGGGGCTTGTTCCAAGAAGAGCTTAACATTTCTTGAAACGTGAATTTCTTTTTTTGCATCCATCCTTTTTGCTTTCATAACAGCGGAAACCATTACTCAGGAATTAAAATGAAATTTCTCTGGAAAGCAAAAGGAAATAAATATGCCTTGATAAACTGTCATTCTCCTCTCTCTGGCTGGTAGACTGCCCCTGTTCCCGGGACAGGGATGGGAGCCAGGCTGATCGATTTTAATCCCCTCCCAATGCTTCTCCCTTCCCCTGCCTACCCAGCTTCCACTCCGGTCCTCGCAAGTGTCAAAAACCACCTGGGGGGAAAAATCTAAAGACGCATCACACGCAAACACAAAAGAAGGCCGGACCACAAACAGAAGAAGAAGGAAAAAAACCCAAGGAACATCAGCAAGCCACTCTCCCACCCCTCCTCAAACTTTCCTTTTTGTGCAACGGTCCGTGGCTTTTCTGTTTGCCTTGGATGATTCAGACGAGGTTTGTGGGCTTCGAGTTCACCTGCTTTCGGTCTTGAGTAAACACAGATCTCCGAGATCCCCCGGGAAGCCGTTCCGGGACGCCTGGCCCCTACACCTTGGATTCCGAGGCGAAGCCGGGGCGGCACGGCTCGTCCAGGCTCGAGTCGCTGTCCGCCGCCGCCCCGCCGTTGCAGCCAGCCCAGGGCTCCAGCAGGCGCGCGGGCGGCGTGGCCCCGACGACATCGTCGTCGTCGTCGTCCGACGCGGCCCCGGGCGACGGCGGGGGACCGGGCCGGGCCAGGCAGCCCGAGGCGCGCGGCCGGTCCCCGTGGGCCGCGTGGCGCCGGCTGGCGGCTCTGCGCGCGCAGCGGAGCAGGCGCTGGAAGGCCTTGCGGAAGTCTGGGCTGCGGCAGTAGATGATGGGGTTGAAGGCCGAGTTGGCGTAGCCCAGCCAGTTGAAGAAGACGAAGAGGCGGTCGGGCACCAGCTCGCGGTGGAAGGCCTTCACCACGTTGGCCAGGAAGAAGGGCAGCCAGCAGAGCGTGAACACGCCCATGATGATGCCCAGCGTCTTGAGCGCCTTCTGCTCGCGCAGGGCCACGAGGCGCGAGGGCCGCCGCTTGCCCGCGCGCCCGTTGGTCAGGGGGGCGGTGGCGGCAGTGGCGTTGGGGCGCGGGGGTCCGGGCGCTGACGGCGGCGCGGGCGCGGGGGCGGGCGAGGGCGGCCGCTCCGGGCCGCCGAGGAAGCGGCGCTCGCAGCTGTCGATCTTCTTCACCTGCTTCTGGGCCTCGCGGAACACCCGCAGGTACACGAAGGCCATGATGCACAGGGGCACGTAGAAGGAGACCACGGACGAGGCGATGGCGTAGGCCCGGTTGGTGACGAAGTCGCAGCACTTGGGGTCGTTGTAGCAGCGGCGCGCCTCGTCGCTCTCCGCCCGCCACCAGTGCATGAGGATGGGCAAGAAGGACACCAGCGCCGAGATGGCCCACACGGTGCACACGAGGCCCCGTGCCCGCGCGCGCGTCAGCAGGCTCTGGTAGCGGAAGGGCGAAGTGATGGCGAGGTAGCGGTCCAGGGCGATGACACACAGGGTCTCGATGCTGGCCGTCACGCACAGCACGTCCACCGAGGTCCACAGCTCGCAGAAGAAGGAGCCGTACTCCCAGCGGCCCCACACCACGATGGTGGCCCCGAAAGGCACCACCAGCAGCCCCATGACCAGGTCGGCGCTGGCCAGGGACATGATGAAGAGGTTGGTGAGCGTCTGCAGCCGCGGTGTCTTGGCGATGGCCACGATCACCAGCACGTTGCCCGCCACGATGAGCAGCACGATGAGCGCCATCAGCAGGCCCATGCCCGCCGTCCACTGCTGCGACAGCGGCTCCGGGCCTTCGCTGGCGGGAGGCAGCAGCGAGGAGGGCGGCGACGCGGGCACCAGCAACCGCGCCGCGGTGGCCGCGCCGTCGGGGAGCGGCGCAGCCGACGACAGGTTGGCGGGATCGGAGGCGCCCAGGACGAGCGCCCCCGCGCCCATGCCGAGCTGCGGAGGCCGGGGGCGGTGGGTGTGGCGGGGCTGGGCCGTGGCTAGGGAACACCCCAGGAGCCCGGGCGGCTGGGTGCGCCGAGGGAGGTCGCGGCCGGGTCAGCGCAGCCGCGGCGGGGGGCCGGAGGCATGGACGCCGGGCGCCTTTCCCGCCGGAGCCGAGCGCTGTCGCTGTCGCCGCCGCCGCCGCCGCCGCTGCCGCTGCTGGAAGAGCCGCCGGTACCTCAGCATGTTTCTGAGAGCGCCGGGCCCGCCGCTCCGGCACCCAGCACCCACCCCACCCCGCTCCCACCTCCCCAAGCCAACCCCCGGGGCCTGGCGTCAGGCTCCTGCAGCCAATCGGGGCAAAGGCACGCCCCCGTCGGGTCTGCCCCCCCCAACTCCCCGCACCCCATTCCAGTTGGCAATTGAGCCGCAACTGAGAGTCCCGAGCTAATCGCAGAGCTAGTGCCTCCTGTGCGGCCCGCCGGTTCCTGCGGACGCGCCACTTCCTGCGCCCGCTGGTTCCAGGTCCCTGTTCCCCGAGCCCCTTCCCGTGCCCGGCTCCCCCACGGGGCCCCGCCCCCTCCCGTGGCCCACAAGTGCTCCCGCAGCAGCTCCTGCTCCCGGTTTGCCTCCCGCGCCAGGCTCCCTCCTGCGCCCCTGCGTCTCCAGCATCCCCTAGACCTGCAGTCCTGGGGGTTCCCTGCGGCAGAGAGAGCTCTCTCCCTGGAGCGCGGAGGGGACCTTGGTGTTCAGGAAGCGCCAGAGAGCCTGGGACTGCTTGGCCGCCGGGCATGAAGGAGTTTGCCCTGCGAGCTTGGTTGTGGCATGGGGCAGCCTAGCAGGGTGTGTGTAAAACCCTTCCCCCGTCAAGAGGCGACCCAGCCAGCCTGCGTCGTGACAGCTTGGGGGATCGGAGGTGGGTGTTAGTGGTTAGAGGAAACTTCCCAGCAGAGAGGGTTGCTGGAGCCAAGGGCGCATCTGTCAAGAATGCTCTCTGGGTGCTGTTCTTGCAGGGATCTTCTGTTCAACCTCAAGTGCAGTGGATGTGGAAAGGAAGCGAAGGTTTGTGCATCTAACAGCTAATGCTGAGGACCCGCTGGAATCGTATACACTCCTCAGTCCCAGCTAATGAATGTGTGAGCATGATACAACAGTGTGTGCTCATGATATAAAGGAGAGGCTTAGGGAGACCGAAACGTTGAGATACAGAGCAAACGGTACGACCGCGAGGGGAAAAAAACGTGTTTAATTACACTTTAGACTTTTCAGTGATAACACCTGTATTTTGTGTTTTATTACTCTTGTGATTTTATAATTTGAGCTAGGTCAGTACCAACACAATGAGGTCAGTACCAACACAGTTTCGGCTGACCTCATGAACTACCATTTCAGATTCCTTGGTCTGCGTGCCTGTTTTCTCCTTTGCCCAAGTTCCCAGATTCTCAAAACTCTGGGATTAGTTTTGGAGGGATGAGACAAGAACACATATAAATACTCCAGAGGGTTAAAATCCGAAAGCATTTAAAGTTGTATCTGTGTTTTTTTGAGTTGGCAAATGAATCGCTTTGAAATTAATGAGTTGTTAACCTGGCAAAAAGGATTATATTGAGGCTGGGGGCACAGCCATGAATATTCAGTGCGGCAGGACTGCAAGCCCCTTCTCTCATTTGGCCCCTGTAGTGTCCTCAGCTCAGGCCTGAAAAACAAAAAAATCTTTAATTGGGTCCTTGAGAAGTAAACAGCTTCTAATTGTTTATGTAAGGGTGCATGAAAATGTTATATAATTCTCACAGGTCCTTCTGGCATTGGAGTAAGAACAGTGCCTGCAATGAACATCAGTGTCTTTGCTGATGTTGGTCATCAGTATGATCAAGCTCATATTCTTACCTTGCAAGGAGAGACCGATTTCCACAGCTGTCCAGGTCAAAAGCAAAAAGTTATGTTTTTAAAGTTTATATAAAGCCAAGCAGTTTTAACCACTTTCTCTTACAGAAATGCAAACATATGAATTTGCTTTAGGCCCAAGCCTGATCATCAGAGTGTTACAACTGGGGAGTAATTTGCTTATTCACCTCCTGCCCAGGATTTATCAGCTGATTTGCCAACTTGGGGAGGTTGAGGAGGGGTTCCAGGAAACAAGAGGACTTAGAAAAAGGGGAGGAAGGAGACTACACCCCAAGTTTTCATTGTCACCACAAGCCTGAGACTCCTGGCATCTTTCTTTCATTCTCTTTCTTTCTTTCTCTTTCTCTTCTTTTCTTTGTCACTCTCTTTCTTTTCTTTCCCTCTTTTTCTTTCTCTCTCTCTTTCTTTCTCTCCTTCTTTCTCTCTCTCCCTCCCTCCTTTCTTTCCCTTTCTTTCTCCCTTATTTCCTCCCTCCCTTCCCCTTCCTTCCTTCCTTCCTTCCTTCCTTCCTTCCTTCCTTCCTTCCTTCCTTCCTTCCCTCCTTCCCTCCCTCCCTCCCTTCCTTCTTTTGGTCCTTGCTTTCCTTTCTTCTTTCTTCATCTTTCTTTCTCTCTCTCTTTCTTTTCTTCCTTCCTTCCTTCCTTCCTTTCCTTCCTTCTTTTTCACTCTTGTTGCCCAGGCTGGAGTACAGTGGCATGATCTTGGCTCACTGCAACCTCTGCCTCCCGGGTTCAAGGGATTCTCCAGCCTTAGCCTCTCAAGTAGCTGGGATTACAGGCATGTACCACCACACCTAGCTAATTTTGTATTTTTAATGTAGACGGGGTTTCAACATGGACTGGTCTCAAAAACCTCGGCGTCCCAAGTGCTGGGATTACAGGCGTGAGCAACTGTGCCCAGCCTTCTGGCTTCTTTCTGGGCCCCCAAGGGGCAGTCTCAAAATAGCCAAGGGATTGGAAGAAGTTGAAATTGATGCTGCTCAGGAAAGGAGCTCTGAGTGCTGGGCTGCAGGGTGAGGCACAGGGAATGTAGGGAAGAGGTTTTTCCTTGCCATCTTTCTGTCAAGTGGTGTTACCAGAATAGAGTGTGCCAACCTTAAATGGCCCCGAAGGGTGGAAGGCATTGCTTTTCTGTGTGCGATAAGGCCAGAACTTGGTTGTAGAGGTTCAGGGCAGAAGCCAGATGCCAGTAACTTTGCCGTATCATCATTACATATATAAACACACTGTGACATTTGAATTGTTGAAAAACTCTCCTGAAACTTTTTCCCCTGCCCATTCAGAAATACATCAAGTTTCTCTGAATTTCTGTATGATAAATACATTAAATTATAAACACTGAAAACCAGAAGGCTATTCTAGCAGGAGTACCCATACAGGGATCTCAGGAATTCTTGGGGATTTCCTTCCATTTTACTGACGGGAGAGTTTGGAATAGTTCATGTTCAACTAGTGTTGGTTGTCTAATAAAAGTAAAATATTCTTGGAACTCCTTTGATTCCTACATTTTATGGTTGGTGTGTGTGTGTGTGTGTGTGTGTGTGTGTGTGTGTGTGTGTGTGTTTTAACATTTTTTAGCCTAACACTTTTTGTTCTTAGGTAAGGATACAAGATCAAGAAGAAAAACATATGAACTTATACAAGTACTGGATATTGTAAGTTGAATAAAACTCCCTCATTTCTTCATTCTTCACTTGCAAAAGTTAAAGCAAGTCAGTTCTAAAAACCCATATACTTGACAGTACTTTGGAAAATGACAGAAAGCGCCAACGATGAAGGCTGATCAGCACACTTGAGAGGTTGTGCACTTCTTCTGCAGAGTTCCTGCCCCCACTTCTTCCTTTCCCATCCCACCACCCTCACCCCACACCAGGACTTGCCATGGATTCTATTTGATCTCCCTGCCGCTGGTCCTCCCTGCTCCATTTAATTTGGCATAGCATACCCAAAGGAATATTTCCAAAATGCTGCTTCAACCAGGATGCTTTTCTATTCCGCAGCCTTATCTCTTCAATTTGACATTCATAGCTCTCTCCAGTCCAATTCCAAATGGCCTTGGCAACCCTATTTCATACTAGAACTCTCCTTATCACATGTTGCATTTCTGTATTCTTTTTCCTTTTGTGGATCCGTACTCCTTCTTTTTTTACATCTGTACTTTCTCACTGGGTTCCCTCCACCAAAACCCACTCCTTCTCTGCTCCCATGAATTCAGCCTTGGAGATCTGGCTAGACTGTCTTCCCCATCCACTGCTTCTGAAAATTCTCTCTCCTTCCCTCTGACCTATAGTAGTGACTCTCCTAATTTCATTTCAGGTGGCAATTTCAACAGGTTGCCTTTTGCTGCTTCTTATATTGTTATCTTGTTTAAGTTCTATGTTTTCTCTTTTCTTCTCTTATAGATTGTAAGCTTATTGAGAGCCAGGACTGTCTCATACATTTTTATAGCTCCCATGTTTACTGATATTTACTTGATATTAGTGAATATTTAGCTTTGATTCATAAATATCTGATATTTAATTTATTAAAATATTCTCATTTTTATACACATGAGACATACTTGAGTATTTTAGGAGCTGCAGTCTTCACACTTCCTTATTATTTACAGCAGTAATCCATATTCTTACCACCTAGTCAACGTTTTCACATAAACATTTCAAAGTACTTTACGAAAGCAAGGTAGGCTCATGAGATAAATTTATATCAGACCTATTCAGTAGTAAATAAAGTAAGACATAGGTAAGAGATTTTCCAAAGGAGCCATGCAAGTCCACCTCCATAAAAACTGCTACCTGGTGGGACTCAGTAGCTCAAGCCTGTAATCCCAGCACTTTGGGAGGCTGAGTCAGAAGGATCACTTGAGCCCACAAGATTGAGAAAGAAAAAGCACTACCTTTTCTTTATAAATGACTCAGTGAATAGCCTTTTTCCTTAGCCTTTATTTATGATACCATATCTATATATCCAGCCATTTCTGCCCTAGGAGAGTTGCTGATGACTTGAATGTGGTTTCAAGTTGTATATCAAATCAAATTTTTGCAGAACAGTGATAACAGGCATCTAAGCCATCCAAGGTTGCAAGCCATAAGCCTGGCAAAGACATTTACATTCTTGAGTTGACTTTACCAGAAAATGAGTTAAAAATAAAAGTGAGTAGCCTAACTGGACAACTGCTGGAAGATCTGCCAAAGGATATGTGGGGGAATCTCCTAATAAAACCCCAGGAAGTATATGAACTCTGTTAGCAAAATGTGCCTTGAGGCTGTTAATAGCCCAAAGCTATTTGAAATCAAGCTATAACAAATCGAAGGATTTGTTAATCAGAGCTTTGGTGGCTGTTTC